GGAGATGCTGATGGTGGCGATGGTGGTGATGAAGAAGAAGATGGTCGTTGTGGTAGCCGTGGTGATGATGATGAAGACGGCTGTTCCTTCAGCCCAATATATACCATATATTTCCCCGTAGCGGTAAGCATAGCTCCGGGGACTTCAGGGCCCTCCTTCAGCATTGACTGTGGGATACCTCGGGCTTTTTTTATACAAGCCGATTTCCCATTTATGGTAAAAGTGCATTGGTAAACCCAATGCCCCGGCTTATGACATCGCCGACAGACATACGACGCTGGCACCGGTCCACGTTGTTTGTATGGCACTTTTAACCATTTCGATGGAGAATAGTCAGCAGTGGATAACTCCATCATCTTCATGATTTTATCCACATCAGAACCTTCCATTTTTGTCAAATCCACTTGCTTCCGGCAGGCGGCATCCCCTTTTAACTTCTCCAACTTCTTCTGGAGTTCAACGTCTTGACGCTTCCACATAAGCTTTCTTTTTCTCTCCTGGAGTTGATCCTCCGGAGTCAGTCGTCGTTGCAATAAAACCCCCGTATTGCGGCGCAGAACATCCTCATCCCTATACTCGGTTTTTGTTTCCGGGTTCAACGCTACCAGGTCCCACTCCCGGTTTTCAGACGCACGCATTTGTCGAATGACTTCAGTCTTTACGTCACTGATAGAGACCGAAATCTCGTCAAAGTAGACAAAATAAAATTTCTGGAAATTCTTGAACTTGCAGATCACAAACATTTTGGTTGTTTCTTTTTTTTTTATTTCAAATTAATAAATAAAAAAAACACAGTTAAAATATTATAAGATACAATATTATTTGAACTTCTTAGATAAATAAAATACACTAAAAAGTATACAGTGTTGTAGAACAATTAATTTTTCAACTATTGCACTTTACGGTAGTTGTAGAAAGTATATTCACAAAACTCACGACTGTTCAGAGCGATGGATTGCAAATAAGTGATTCTTGATTTGGATATGATGAACGATGTAAGCTTGTACCAAAATTATGTATACTAATTGCATCCCCTCTTTTAATTGTAAGGCCCAATCAACGTTGACCAGGTGCTATTGTAACTCTTACTCTAAGGGCCTAATGAACCTTTACCTGAAAATGTCTTCCTCTTAATGCTAATGACCCATACCATGACGGTAAAGAGATTTAAGTACTATTGTTATAATTTATCTACGAGAGCTAAAAATTGATTGATTTTGAAATTTTTTGATGTAATTATAGATATATTTTTGAATATATATGTATTTATAAATTTCAAAATAAATGTGTGCTGTATATTGCATATACCCAAATGAAAAAAAAATATATTTTAAATATATTAAACATCTATAAAAAATACATAAATATATATAAATTATGTATAGTAAATATATTTTTAATAACTAACTTTTGGCCGATTTTCATATATATTTTTTTTTCATGGGGGTAACCACATATCGACTTACATATATGTTTATATAGATGAAAGCATATATTGAAACATACAGTCGCGCTCATTAATTCGAAAATTCTAAACTTTATAATTTTTAAATCATCAATTTTTCCATTTGTAAAAGAAGCTAAATGTAAAAAAAAAAAATATTTTTTAAATGTTAGAATCGTAAATAATTTCTAAAATAAATTGAATGTATCGTAAATTATGAAAAAAGAAAAAACACTTGTTTAAAAATAGAGAAATTTGCGAGTAAATTTATTTGTCAAATCAGCAATTTAAAAAAAAAGCATCGATGAAATGCCACCAGTTTAAAAATTACTGAATTGAAAATTAAGGATTATTAAAAATATTCCAAATTATACAATAAATAATTGAAAAGTTTGAACATCTAAAATAACGTCATATGAAAAATGAGGTTATTGTAAATTAATATCTTTAAAATTTGTAGAGTCGTAAATCATCTTAAAATTGAAATATATTTGTTGCCAGTCTGGCAAAAAAGTTCTTAAAGATTTCTCCTAATTTCTAAACAATGAATTTAAAAATCCCGTCATAAATAAGTAGTTTTTGTTATTGTTTGCTCATTGTACTTGTAGCCGTAGCGCCTAATACCTGTCTCGTTCAAATGCGCTTACTAACCCAAATGGTCATTATCACTATAAGGTACTTAGGTAACAAATATTTTCAATACAATAGTTTGTAAAGTATTTCACAATGTCCTTTTTAATAAAATAACAATAATCTGTTATATTCATTGCAAAGAATAAGTGCAAATTGAAATGACAAGAATAAGAAAAAGTCCCATTTCTTAGAAAAAGAACAGATGTCTGTCGAGACTATTATACAACGTTTTTTACTTTTAAATCAGAAATAAAATATAAAAAAATTATATAAATGTATTTATTATGATAATATTTTTCTCTCAGCGCATAAAAATATTTAACTGTAAAAATTAACTTAGCGTAATAATATAAAGCGAGCACTTAAGCGCTCATTATGCGAGACATGTAGGAGCTTTAAAGTTTATTGGCAGCAAAAAATAAAAAAATACATTGATGTGTGATGTGTATATGCTGAGTATGTATTTTTTTTTGTTTGTGTTTTTGATAGTACGTATTCCTGGTAGACAGTGCAGTGGGAGCTATACAATATAGAAAAAAAAATAAAAAAAAAAAAAAATAGAAGTAAAAAAGAAGCGAGTAATACTGGAACTTCGAGAGCCTGTCCAAACTGTCACCATCGAGTGTTCGAATCGCAAATTAAATTGTCCGAGAGCAGCTAAACGGTTGACGAGCGTTAAAGAGAGTGAACGAGAAACTACCACGGACTGTTTTAACCCTTCAGTTTCTCGTTTTTAAAATTCTCACCGATATCTGAATATAATTCATCACGTACTACTCCGACTATGTCATTGGAAATTCGTACACAACTGAAATAACAACATTAATAATTAGATTTTCGATGATTTACTATAGACAGTTTAAACTTTTTAGTTAAAAACTAAATTTTATTCGAAAATATCATTAAACGTTCTACAATCCTCGGAGTTTTTATCAAAGTTGCCTTTCTAATTGAGATTTATTTTTTAGTTTTTTCCAATAAATACAGCTTATTACTTGACATTTCTAGAAATGAAAAATGAGAGCAAAGAAAATTTTATTCTTTTGACAAGTTTCATCATCAAGTTATCTTTATTTAAAAATTTAAAACCTTTTGTTTAATATTTTCTTTAAATTTCTTTAAAAAATAATCAATCTAAATCTAATAAAAAATTTTTTTTTATCAGATTATTATTATACTTATCACAAATTTCATTTAATTCCTTAAAAATTAAAATGACTATTTTACTTCAGAGAAAATAAAATATTCTTAGCTAGGAAATATTTTTTAAAAATAACAAATAGCTTTACTCAAGTAAATTATTTTATTGATATTGACATTTTTAAATAATTAAAAAGAGAAATTAATTTTCGAGCAATATCTTTTATTTCTTTATTGAAACTTGAATAATTTTAGTCTAACAAATATTTTATTTACTTTTAAAACTGAAAAAACCTTTTTATAAATTAACTTGTCCTGTGCTTTTAGATAAAAAATTTTTTGTATTTCCATTTAAGAATAAATTAATTTTCCAAAACAAAAAAAAACATTTTTTTAAGTCAAATTTTTATTATAATTAATTCAATAAAAATTTATAGAACTTTTTAAATTGTGCATACTATTAAAAAAAAAAAAAAACCTTATAAAAATATCAATTTAAAACTTCTGTTCTCTGAGAATCATTAGAAAATTAAATTTTATTTAGTTTAAAAACAAAAAAAAAAGCCAGACATTAAAGTTCGAATGTCAATTACGAAACTTTAACAAATTAAAATAAACAAAAATTGGCAGAAACTTTCGGACATATATAATTATCAAATATTTAAATTTTTCTCTAGTTCGCAGAGTTTGTTGAAATTTAATATAAATTAAACAATAAAATAAAAGTTAAATAATTAAAAAAGTGGTGAAACTCGTGTGCATATTTGCGTCCTCATTGAATTTCTCGCCAGGTCACAAAGAAGCATTCCACGGGTCGAGTTAAAGACCAATGAGGACATTTTGCGGCGTTTTTAAGCACTACATGCCTTGCCGGAAAGCCGAGCATGGAGAAAGCAAGAATAAAACGAAGAAAGTAAGCATCGGAGGTGAGTTTTACAATGTGCAAAATTTCGTCGCTTCTATTTGGTTGGCTTAGTTCAATGTTGAGTTTTCTGGCTCCGGTACCGAGCAACCAACAAATTAAAATAAAACGACTGTAGTGTGCGACTTAAGAGTAAGAGTTTAAGTATCATGCGCCGGGGCTGCTGTGAGAGGATAACTGAGAGAGAAATAAACCACTTAATACGTTTGTATGTAGTATATAGTCCATAGAATATAGATATATAAATATATGAAGAATAGGATGATAAAAGACGAGTTAAAAGAGGGTACGCCTTTCCTGAACTGGTGTTGCTCTATATACAAATATACTGAGATAAATTCCGTCTTGATTACCACCAACTAATTGTTTCCAATGGTACTCTCAAAAATAATTCTCGCACAAGTCTCCGTGATAATTGCGCTCACTTTCCTTTTATTTCCTTCCTCTATTTTATTTTGACTAATTTATATCTCTTAATTACTTTCAGCTTTATTTTACTCTCATATACTTTATTACTTAATTAGTTCATAATTTATGATTTCAGCTACTTAGTTTTCACACTACGTCTCATTTTTATTCCTGATAATTTGGATAATTTATTATTTGTATTTATATATATAGCTTATGTTAAAAAAAAAAAACTAAAAATCAAATTTTTTTATTATAAATTTAAGGACAATATTTTTCAATTACTTTTAAATGTATACGATTTTGGAAATTTCATTGTATTGAATTTTTAGCAAGTAGAAAAGATATTCATTTAGAAAATGGTAATTTTTTAGCTTCTCTGTTACTTGTTTTTTTTTTTTTATAAAATATTGAAGAATGAATAATATAAAATATTTTATTCTGCTTGGAAGTGAAAACGGTAATGAGAGGAATGGAACGAGTAGAGTGAGGCCCACTAAAAGTAATACTAGCAGTGAAGCTCCAGGGGAAGAAGAAATGAAAGGAGAGATGGATGAGGAAATAACCTGGGAAGAGTTCACGAAGACCCTAAGCGGTTTAAAAAATGGAAAATCGCCGGGAGAAGATGGGCTAACTGTAGAATTCCTAAAGGGCTTGCCAGGATGCTGGAAAGAGGAGCTATACGAGACAATCAACCAAGCCTGGAAGAAAGGTGAATTGCCAGAGGGGTGGGACACGGCAAAAATCTTTCCTATCTACAAAGCGGGCGACGAGAATGAAACCAAGAACTATCGGGGCATAGCACTCTTAAATATTGGCTATAAACTGATAGCCAAGATTATGGCCACCAGACTAACGAAGTGGGCAGAGGACAACGGCCTCCTGCGAGAAAGCCAAGCAGGTTTCAGAGGCGAGCGCGGCACCAGAGACCACATCTTCACACTAAACTCAATAATAGGGAAGAGTATTAAACAACAAAAGGGTAAGCTTTATGCGGCATTCGTGGACTTCAGAGCAGCCTTCGACTTAGTGGACAGAAACAAACTACTGGAAAAACTGCAGGAATTGGGAGTAAAAGGCAGGATGTTCAGCCTGATAAGCAAAATCTATGAAAAATCTGTCAATAAAGTGATGACGGAAGATGGGACAACAGAACCTTTTGATTCATACATGGGAGTAAGACAAGGATGCCCACTAAGCCCGATACTCTTCTGTCTGTACATTGACGACCTAGACGATGATCTGGAAAAGAAAAACGAAGGTGGTGTAGTGATGGGAAGAGTCAAAATCTTCACACTGAAATTTGCGGATGACATAGTGCTACTAGCCGATGCGGCAGAAGGGCTGTCGAACATGCTGAAGACGCTACAGAGATTCTCTAAGAAGAAAAAACTTGAAGTAAACGTCAAGAAAACTAAAATAATGATCTTCAGGAAGGGAGGTGGTCTCGGGAATACAAACAAGTGGATGTATGAGGGACAGGATATAGAGATAGTCAACGAATTTAAGTATCTGGGTTTCTGGTTCAACACTAGAGGCACATATGGGAATCACGTAGCGAAACTGACTGCAAAAGCACAAAAAGCAATAAATGTAGCCTGGGGAGTTATGAAAAGAGCGAAAGTAAACAGCTTAAGTAGAAGATTCTATCTATTGGACACGCTAGCTAAGTCAGGATGCATCTATGGAGTAGAAATCTGGGGTTGGGTGAAGCAAAAGAAGATGGAGCAACTAAGAGGACGATACGCAAAAATGATCATGGGCCTAAACAGTAACACCCCGGACTACATCTGGAAAACGGAGGCAAGTAGGACAGGAATGGAGTTAGAAGCTAGAAGAAGAGCCTACAAATACATTGTTGAGGTAGCTGGAATGAAAGATGACAGGTGGCCGAAAGTTTGCCTCCGGGAGGAAGCAAGACTTACCTTGAATAAAAACCCCACAAAATTCGGAAGTGATATGGTGAAAGCGTTACAAGAGACCGAGGAGATGACGACACTACTCAAGAATATGATGGAAAATAAAAACGTGGAGTGGATAGAGACCAAACTAAGTGAAAGCTTAAGAGAGCTAGAAACGAAATTAAAAACGGAAATAAGAACCAAGGTCGCGCAATCAAGGTACTGGGATAAATATGAAGAGATAACAAGTGAAGAAAATTTTAACAGCTACTGGGAGCAAAAGCAATGGAAGGGCTGGGAAAAAGAGCAGTGGGCAAGACTGAGAAGCGGCAACCTAGGCAGAGTGGGAAATAAAGGCTACAGTGACACCAATTGCAGGTTGTGCGGAAAAGCAGAGGAGACACTAGATCACCTATGGGTGTGCGACAAGGCAAAAAGTGCAATAAAGAAAGAGTGGGTAAAAGATATGGAAAACTGGAGAAATGCAAAGGAAGGTACTGAGCTGGAAAGACTCACAATTAACACTCTGCAGGGTGAGCCAAAGACAGAGTTGTGCAGATATGCAAGGGAGTTCGAGAAGCTAGTCAGGAAGACACGAGAATCCGCACAAGCAGGAAAAAAAACGGAAGCTAGTGAGGAGAAGAAGCGTCGATAGATTATATAAAAAGTTCTCTATGCATATATATATTGTTATACGACATTATTTTAATTTATTTTATTTATTTTTTAATTCTTTATTAAAAATAATTCTTGTAAAGACGAAAAGGGATGTAAAAGGCCATACAGGCTATACATTATATGAATAAACTACTATTCTGTAATATAAAATATTTTATTTTACATTTAATTTATAATAATAATGATGAAAATTTGTAAAAATAAAATTTTATGTTCACCGAAAATTTATAATAAAATTTATCCACATAAATCTGACAATTTCTAGTAATTTTTTTTATATTGTACATGTAAAAATTTTTCATAAAATTTAATTGTTCGATTTCTTATAATCTTTTTTTAAGCATTTTATTTTTGATAAACTTTAAGGAAGTTCTGTGAAAAATCATTTTTCTGGCCGCTGCGCTAAACAAAGTTGCCACATTTCGGCTACGTCGAGCAGAAAAAGTATTTTTTATCAAAAAAAACGTAAACGAGCGGTATTTATTTTTTTATAAAAAATGTTTAAAAGGTAGCGACTTTCGATATTTCACGTGAGTGGAAGTAAGTGAGCGATAGTCTATAAAGAGAGGCAGCACTAGTGCGTGAGAAAGAAACCAATACCCATAACCTGTTGGTGTCTTTTCTTGCCTTGGTACTTCCTTAACATGCTAAATTTACATTTTCAGATTGACAATTTTTATAATGTAATAATAATTACATTTCTAAAAATATAAACTTGACGTATTTTGTTTTAGAACTTTTTTTCCGTGATGAAGTAAGGAATAAAATATAACGTTAATTACTTTGAACAAAAGATCAAAAAGTATAGTAGTTGTTTTTTAAGAAAATAGCATGTTGTTGATGAAGACAAGCCTTTATATTTAGCGCAGCGCATGTAAAGATAAAGAGCAATTGAGAAAGAAGTGCTCGGGGAGAATTCTAGCAATGCAAGTACGGAAAAATGTTGGCAAGAACCATTCAAAGTGATTATGACCATTCCTTTTATCTTTTTGTTTTAGACTCGACTCTTCATTCTTCATTCTTCTCTCCTTCGTTCGTCGCTCCTCTCTCTCATTACATTCTCTAAAATATTTTGTAGCCTTTCACCTACTAAAGTCCTTCTTCCGGCACTCGACCCTCACTTTAACTATTTTCACTCATTTTTAATCCGATCCTACACTACGGCATACGTTATCCATAGCAATTGACTTTTCTACAGACTCACTGTTTTTTATCTCTCGCATTTATTTTTTAAAAATTCTCCCTCTCATTACTTTTCACATTGTATACTGCCGGAACTCTACTTCACCTGATTCAGACTCTTCGCTTATTTTCATAGAACGGAAAATCATGCTGGACTTATGCGAGATTAACTTGTTCTGCATTGTTAATGTAAAAAAATGATTTGACGTTTATTACTATGCTAAATATTCTAAGCTATTTTATGTGTACTGTAGGCGATACTTTGAAAAATTAAAAATAACTTTTTGATTTTATTAATTAGTTTAAGATCCAATACTTCGAATTAAATTAAATATAAGAATGACACTGAAGTTGACAGACATAAAAAATGTGCTTAAAATTTCATGGCAATTAAATTATTATAAAAAAAATTTAATTAAAAAATTTCACATGTGAAAATTAATAAAAATTACAAGTGAAAATTTTTAGCATTTTTAGCATTTTTTTATTGTAATTGATGTGTGATAAAAATTTTTAAAATTAACAGCTGACGGCTAACTTCAGTATTATATATAAGAGGAATAAGGGTCAAATGTACATCAATATACATCAACAGTTCTGGGACTAACGCAACGTTTCGCTATTTTTGATTTAAGAAAAATATTCTTGATCCAAGAAAATCAGTTAAAAAAAAATTAAATGTCATAGAAAAATTCCATATCCAATCAAGAGTGTATATTATCTTCGATTGATGCAATAAAATTCTTCAGCGCAAAACATAATTCTCTTTAACTAAAAATAATCTTATTTTTCTTAAAAAATTTTGTATTTTCAGAGTTTAAAAAAAAGTTTTTCTTAAACCAATTTCTTACTTCAACTCTTTTTGAAACGTATTTCAATCTTTTTCTTTGCAGTAAACATAAATTCGAGCACTGTTAATTTCTTAAAACAAACCAATAAAATCTTTAATCAACTTACTACGTATCTTAATGCTCAATTAATAAATTAGGGCATTTAAAATACGATAACTGCAAATTTTTTTTTTCAATATTTTGTTGCATTTATTATAACTGCAAGTAAAGAATCTGACATTTTCTTTTCTTAAGTTACTGTATTTTGTTTTAAGTTGAGACGCGCGAATGACTTGTTGAAATATTGTGAAATTATTGTCTACCTTGAAGACAGTAAAATGATCGGTTGAATTTGTAAAATTTTGAAATGAAGAATTTTTTCTCTTTAATCTGAAGTCTTGTTTTCTTAATTTAAGTGTGACTTAGATTTTTTTAATCAAACATAATTTTTTTAATCGAACATTTTTTTCCCAAAAATAAATGTAAATAAAATTTTATTTAATAGTAAATATACTAATCGATGTTTAATAACAAATTAAAGAACAATTTTTAAATATTGCTGATTAATTCTTCCAAATTTCAAAAAATAAATCGACAAAAATAACAAGCTAAATCTTTCGAATATAAATCAACATTTAAGGACACAAAGTTTTATGATGATTCTTTAAATTCCAGGGAATCCAAAACCTCAAAAGTGAAACTTCCATTTTATAGAAAATATGGTCAAATCTAATTTTAATTTTTATCCCGGTAAATGAAAACGTGATTACTTCTATTGCTGATTTTTGAAAATTTTGTTCTCGAATTTGTTGTGAAAATTAATTTTTAGATGATTTTACGACTTTCTAACCGCAATATTTTTGAGTAAGATGTTTTTAAATTGAATTTAAAATTGCTAAAAAATTATTATCTGACAATTTTAAGACTTTTTTAAGACGTTCCGTTTTAATGTTCCGGGGCTCTGTCGCTGTTAACCCATCTTAAAATAGTCTAAATTTTTTGTTAAGATTTTTTTAAGACTAATTTAAGATAATTTTGAGACAATTTAAAGACGCTCCATAATAATTTTCCGGAGCTGCCACTGTGATGTTATCTGAAAATAGCCTAAAAATTTTTTAATATTTTTTTTTTTTATATTTATTTATAAATTTTTTTTTATATTAATTTTTGTAAGATATATATTTAGTTATGTGATTTAATGTAGGTGTTACATTAACTGAGTCGCTTTTTAAAGTTATTTTTAAATGCGACACGTATTACTGGTAACGTGGCTGCGTTTATTGTAATTATAGAAATTACTTTTTTTTTATCAGTAATTGTTTATCACATGATAAATATAATGTAATATTTTTTTACAATGTTTTTTTAAATTAAAAAAAAATTTTTTTGCACTAAAAAAAAATTTTTTTTTTCTTAAAAATTTTTTTTTTCTTAAAAACTTTTTTTTTTTTTGACAAAAAAAATTTATTTTATATTAAAAAAAAAATTTGACACTAAAAAAAAATTTTTTTTTGACAAAAAAAATTAAAAAAAAAAATAAATTTTTTTTAGGAAAAAAAAAATTTTTTTTTTTTTTAAGAAAAAATTTTAAATTCACTAATTTTTATAAAATTTAGTAAGTATTATCAGCCACTAAAAATCCATAGTGATAAAATATATGTACCAGAGTATTAGATATATTTTTTTTTTGTAAGTATATTGTACATGCACATTCTCATATTTTAATATACCTATGTATGTGTATAGTATCTCGGATATAAAAAGTAATAATATAAGCAAAAGCAATAAGAGCTAAATACTACCTATACTGTGTTTCTCTGTTACACCAAAGACTTAATAGCAAGTAGATACTGCTAAAAGAGTCAAACAGATTGTGTCTTGCCGATAATTTCTCAACATAAACTATACAAGAAATATATATATATATAAATGTATACATATATGTGGTATAAATATGGTAAGGAAATTTCTATTTTATCTACGGTAATTGTCGAGGTACAGAGAGGAAATTATAAATTTTTAGAAATTTATTTTGGGTGATTTTATTTTTGGAAAATTTGTGAAAAGTAATTATGTTTATTTTAATTTTTAAAAATTTTTTAAGGTAAAAAATTTGAATAGTTTTTAAATTAAGATTAATTAGTGGAAAATTATTTATTTTTATAAGAAAATTTTTAAGGATTTGAAAAGAAGAAATAAATTTTTAGTGATTTTTAATTTAAAGAAGAAATGTTGCTGTGTTTTAAAGGGACAATTTTAATATTTTAAAAATAAATAAATAAATTGATGATTAATTGTAGAAATTGTTTGTATAATTATTATTATTATTATTACTTTGTAAATTATTTTATTAAATTTCTTGTAAATCATTTAATTTATCAGGAAATTTATTATCAATAATATTGAAAAAATGAAAATTGTTTATATTAACTTGAAAATATTTTTATTAAAAATGATCTATGATCTATAAATGTAAAAATCAACAAATGTACTGCGCTTTTATCGAGTATAAATATCAACTGCGTATATTAAAAGAAACATTTAAATATTGATCTTTTAAAAAGTGAGTACTACTAATTAAATTCTCCATAATAAATTAAATAAATAAATAATTAATTGTATGTTAATATTTAATTTTGCTTTTAGCGCAGATTTAGCAAAAATGTTGAAGCTTTTGATTTTAACACTACTTGTTGCATTATTTATTTTTGTAAATATTGTTGACAGTTGTGGAGCAAGACACAGTGTTGTAAGTTTCTTTAATTTTAATATTTAATTAATTATTTTTTTGTATTGAAAAATTTAAAAAAGAAAATTTTTTTCTTCTTTGATTTTTAAAAATTGAAAATTAATTTTTTTAGTAAATATTATAATTAATTTAATGAAAATGAAGTTACACGGAAAGAACAAGATGACACTGGATACCATCTCAGATTATACTCAGTGACATCTGAGGCGAAAAAAA